CCCCCCCAAGAGAGACCCTGAAGGGATCTAGCTGTCCCATAAGTGAGGGCATAAGCCATCTAGTAACAACCCTGGGCAGGCATTAAACACCAGTGTTCAAAACCCACTTCTGCCTCTTAGTGTCTGTGTGACTGTGGATAGGCAATTTGAGTGCTCAGGCCTCAGTTTTCTTATCTGTAAAATAGAGAGAATTAGCACCCATGTTGGCAGGTGGTGCAAGACCCTTAGTAGGTGCTATGGAATCCACAGCCCATAGCCTAGGGGCAAATAGCAGCGGCCCTGTGCATTCCCACCCCCAAACCCAGACCAGCTGTGTGCGGTGTCAGGGTTCGGGGCATTGGCTGGCACCTGGTCCTCAAGGCTAAGAGGGCCATCTGCTCAGTGGCCAGTCCCTGCCTTGGCTCTGGCCTGGTCCTGGCTATGGCTGGTGCCCAGTCCTTCCCTGCCCTCTGTTCTTTGTGGAAGGGGCTCTAGAGAACTGTCCAAGGCAGGAAAGAGGGAGAAGGAAGAGCGCGAGAGGCAATGCTACCCAGACTGAGAAGGTGTGTTAGGCAAGTCCCAGGTGGCACATGTGACATTCCATTCATCTTCCCAGTCCCTTGTTCAGGAGGTACTGTGAATGAATGAGTGAACAAATGGACAACCTCCTGAGGAAGGTACGATGGCATCATTAAACCAGATGGTATATGTAAAGCGCCTGGCATATGCCTGTCACACAGCCCTCAATAAATGCTACTTGTTCCCCACTGCCCCTTTGACTGTCCCCCCTCCCTTTATTGGCACAAAAGGTGGTGTAATAGAAAGCGCACTGGATTTAGAGTAAAAAACACATGGCTATGTGTCTTGGTTCTTTCACTCATTGACTCGTGACCTGGGGCAAGTCACTTACTTCCATGGGCCTCAGTATGCTCACCTGTACAAAGGGGAGAAAGGTGTTGCAGGATGGGTGAGGATATGAAGAAAGGCTTTGAAAAAGCAGAACGTGGGTCATATTACCCCTCCCTTCCCATGGCCACGTGCCTCCAGCTACCCCCTCTTCCAGGCTCAGCACTATCGACATGGCCCATGACATTAAAATCTCAGCCTGCTTTCCTCACACCCCTAACCCCACCTCTGCTCCGTGAAGCAATTCACGGATACCCTACTGTGGCTCAGTGCCAGGGATTGGCCCACCCCAGCCGCCTGGCCCGCCGGCTCCTCACAGCCATTAAGCCCCAGTCCAGATTTCTTTCTCTTTCAATTAAACCACTTGGCCTCAAGGCCTCTACCCGCTTGCGCCCTGATTTGCATGAACACCCTATGAAGAGTTTTGATTAGAAAGGAAAACCAGCATTTGGTACAAGTGCTGCTAAGCATTGCCTTGCATCCAGCAGGGAAAGGGCACCAATCTAATCCAGTGCTATTTCCTGAGAGACTGGGGACAAGCTAAGCTGGGGAGGAGATGGCAGGTGGGCCCTAGCCAGAGCTTGGCAGCTGCTAATGCTCACACCTAAAGAGGCTGCCCCCGCACTGATTCATGGCTCTCGCTGGCTTGTCTGTGCATTCTTGCGCCATCCCAGGTTATTAGCTCTCTTCCATCGTGCTGAGCACACTGAGCACACTGGGCCAGCCTTATGTAGAAGAGGAGCATCCAAAGCAGAGAAAGAAGGGGATGCTTCAGGAGGGGGGCCAGGACTGTCCTCAGCCCAGCCCCTATCCATTGGAGACCAAAAGCTCCCCCACCCTCCAAAAGTATTACTGTGGCTTCAACTCTGCCCCAACACACCCACACACTTTAATTAAGGGCAAATATTTGGAAGGGGAATTTGAAATCCACTTTCTAATTTAGCTGTTTACATCCTTTTTAAGTCATAGGCCCCTTTGAGAATTTAATGAAAGCTAAGGCCCCTTTCCCAAGAAAAATGCATGAATAGACCTAATTTTCCATTTAATCTAAGAGTCTCTATAAACCCTTAAAGCTTTCATGAACTGAGATTAAGAATTTCTTATCAGATTCAACCACTTCAATTTATAATAAAGACACTAAGGCCCAGAGAGGGCAAGTGACTTGCCTATGGTCACACAGCAAATTAGTAACACGGCCCAGTCTGAAGCCAGGGTTCCAGACTCCTGGTTCAGTGTCCTTTTTACTCCCCTAGGTGGTGTTCCCTCCCTATTCTCCCATGGTGCTCCTTCAGTCAGTCCTCTCAGGGCACAGCACAGACCAGAGCACAGTGTATGTTCAATAAATGTGGTCATTAAGCCAGCTAGAAGGTGGGCCAACTTCATTTAGCTGGTTCCTTCCTGCAGGGCTAGAGCAGATATGGTTTGGTTCCTAAAGGGGCATGTGTGAAGTGGGGCTGTGTCAGGGATTGGCTGGGTCTTCCCCATGCTGTGAAATCTGAGAGTTCAAGTCTGAACCAAGTGATGTGCGGAGAAAAGTATCCTCAGGCTCTAGAGCAGGGGACCTAAAGCATGTCCAGCCTTCTGCTAAATGTCAGCCAAGACCTCAGCTTTTAACACCATCTGCCATCTCTGCTCCTCCTCTGCTCTAGAACCCACTCTGGCTCCTCAGTGCCATAGCATCAGATTCAGCTTCTTTCCCCTGGAGTCTTCCCCTGCATAGGATGAGCTGTCTCCACACAGGACAGGTCGTTGTTCCTGTCCTGTCCCCAGTTGGTGTGTGTGGGCCAGGTGGGGAGGACACTGGAGTGGGGATCTTGCTCTGCCTCACCAGCTGTCTCTGCCCCCAGGACTGCAATGCAATGCATCCGTGGACGTCATTGGTACCTGCTGGCCCCAGAGTCCCGCAGGGCAGCTGGTGGTTCGACCCTGCCCCGCCTATTTCTACGGTATCCGCTACACCACCACAAGTAAGGGAGTGTGTGGAGGGCAGACTTGTTGAAAGTGGGAGAAATAATAATGACAATAACAATAATAACAGTACCTCTCATGGATACAGCCACCATTTACCAAAGGCCAACTCTGCTGTGCTGGGCACCTGTGCTCATACTGCCGATTCTCACAATACCCCTGGAAGATACTGTATATAACTCCATAGTGCCCATAATATAACTAAGGCCTCTGAGGCTCAGAGAGGTTAGGGAACTTGCCCGAGGTCACCAGGTGGTAAGAGATGAAGCTGGAGTTGCATCCAGGTCTTTCTGACACTTTCTTCTGCAGTTGACAAAGTCGCCTTGAGCCTCCAACAACCCCATGAGGAATCATCAGAACAGCCCCAACTCTGGGATGAGAACCCTGAGTGCAGAGCTATTATGAGGCTTCCCCAGGGCCCTCCAGCCAGGAGGTGGGGGACTCAGAGTTCTGGATCTA